GTCCTCTTTCAGTTGATACCAAACTTGTTAAATTTGGATAAGCGGTTTGTTTATTATTAGGAAAGGACTTTTATTTTCAACTTAAAAATATCTGGCAAAGTTTAGCTGTTGAAAAAAAAGTAACTGTTATTTGCGCTTCCTGATACATATGAAAATTTGCGTTCATTCGCCTCAAAAAATATATCAAAACACATTGAGCGCATGGAATGGAACAACAAAACACATTTGAAGACTTATGGGCGGTGAGTAATTAATTGTGACTGCCTGCAACAAGGAAAGCCCGAGCTTATCTAACTAGTAAAAGAAACTAAATACAAGGTATTCATTACAGGCGAACCTTTCCAAGAAGTCACCCGGGAACTAAGCAAATCTGAGACCTTTATCGTTCAATTCAAATTATTATAAAAAGCGGGGTACCTTTTTAACAAAATAACAAGATTTTAAACTAATTCTGCTGGCAGCCACGACTTTCAAAACACAAAACTTTTTTCGAAATTTTCATTCCTAGAAAATAATTTATTTGCCATATCCACATATTCACAACATATATGTAATACTCCTATATTGGCAGTAAGAGCTAGTACCGTCCGAAAACACTACAGTACAGATATATCAATAAACACGTACGAAAGAAAAGGAACACATACGTTTATAAATAAACATGTACACAACACATATACAAAAACTGCACTCAAGTACACAATACATTGACAAAAACAGTACTAGACTGTCTCGCTCTGATTTCGGAATGCTTACACATTGAGAAGTTAGCTTACTGCCAATATAGAAGTATTACATATATGATTCACAACCTCGCTTTAAGCGCACATTTTTCAAACCAGTCACAGAAGACAGGATTAAAAATGAATAACATAAACTAAAATCGAAAAACGTTCTCCAAATTCTGAAACAACCAAAAGAATTGGTGCTCCAAATTGGAAAATAAGGTGTTTAAACAGCGATCTTGCTGGGTGATTAGATTGTGAAGATGAAAGTCAGGAGGATACATCTGACATTTGCAGAAAAAAAGAAATATAACTGAAAGTCCTCTCAACTGGTGCAGCGTCAATCGAAAAGAATTTACAATTTTGTCAAGTTTCAAGTTTGTCGCCTCAGTTACTTAGTGGCGCAGGTTTGATTTACGACCGGTTAGGAAACAGGCTGTAACCCGAAAAGGCAGCAAAATTACTCTTTCTACTAAAAAAAAAAAAANCTTATCTAACTAGTAAAAGAAACTAAATACAAGGTATTCATTACAGGCGAACCTTTCCAAGAAGTCACCCGGGAACTAAGCAAATCTGAGACCTTTATCGTTCAATTCAAATTATTATAAAAAGCGGGGTACCTTTTTAACAAAATAACAAGATTTTAAACTAATTCTGCTGGCAGCCACGACTTTCAAAACACAAAACTTTTTTCGAAATTTTCATTCCTAGAAAATAATTTATTTGCCATATCCACATATTCACAACATATATGTAATACTCCTATATTGGCAGTAAGAGCTAGTACCGTCCGAAAACACTACAGTACAGATATATCAATAAACACGTACGAAAGAAAAGGAACACATACGTTTATAAATAAACATGTACACAACACATATACAAAAACGGCACTCAAGTACACAATACATTGANTGCACTCAAGTACACAATACATTGACAAAAACAGTACTAGACTGTCTCGCTCTGATTTCGGAATGCTTACACATTGAGAAGTTAGCTTACTGCCAATATAGAAGTATTACATATATGATTCACAACCTCGCTTTAAGCGCACATTTTTCAAACCAGTCACAGAAGACAGGATTAAAAATGAATAACATAAACTAAAATCGAAAAACGTTCTCCAAATTCTGAAACAACCAAAAGAATTGGTGCTCCAAATTGGAAAATAAGGTGTTTAAACAGCGATCTTGCTGGGTGATTAGATTGTGAAGATGAAAGTCAGGAGGATACATCTGACATTTGCAGAAAAAAAGAAATATAACTGAAAGTCCTCTCAACTGGTGCAGCGTCAATCGAAAAGAATTTACAATTTTGTCAAGTTTCAAGTTTGTCGCCTCAGTTACTTAGTGGCGCAGGTTTGATTTACGACCGGTTAGGAAACAGGCTGTAACCCGAAAAGGCAGCAAAATTACTCTTTCTACTAAAAAAAAAAAAAACATTATTAAAAATGAATAACTTTTCCATTTCTTATTTACCGCATTCGCATTCGCATCCGCGGATGTTAGCCTTCAAACATCCGCATCCGCATCCGCGGATGTCTAAAATTCCACATTAGCAACATCCCTAGTGTATACCTACTTTTTATTTACAGTTAATCTTACGCAAGTGATGAGTAAACAGAATTGACTCGTTTTTTTCGTGTCCATTCTGTAATCTCTTTATTAATATCAAATAAGAAGAGAAAAATGCAAAGAGACCAAACAGAGATCAATTAATGGTAAATTTTTATTTTGTTTCTTACCTATGTTCTAATCATACGTTCGCGACCGAAAACATCTTTTTTTTTGTCTTTACTTCGCATTGAGTGCAACAAAAGGTCCTAAAATAGCAGGATTAAATCAAGTTGAGTCTCCGTAATTACAAAACAAGATAACTTTGGGTAAACAGTTTACCAAATTTTTTATTTCGATTTTCAAAGTTTCGTACGTTTCCGACCGTAAGTATAGTTTTGTTCCTAAAGAAGTGTGTTCGATAATTAAACCGGTCACCCAATTTTATGGTTTTAGCTGCCTACATAAAGAAGTTATATGGCAAAAATTTGTATCTGAACAATCAGTGGTATAGGAGATATAGCTTATATAGCACCGACCTTAACGGTGTTCTCAGTAGACTTTGTATGATTATTTAGAAAGTAGCTCACGAAATTCCTCGGTTTTAGCCGCCCACATAAAGGAGTTTTACAATAAATCCCCTTATCTGAACAATCAGTTGTATGGAGGCTATAGGTCATAGCGACCCGATATTTCTTATTTTCATTGTAAGCTGTCTGTTGATTATGAGTGAAAACAGTGCAAAGTTTCATGTTCCTAGCCCCCTTCATAAAGGGAGAAGTTATAATCTGACCAATTATTTGTATGTATGTATATGTTATAGTAGTCCGATTTTGACGGTTCCGACATATGATTAATACATTATAAAAATACTCTTATTTACCAAATTTCAGTCGGATATCTCGAAAATTAAGGGACTAGATTGCGTTCAAACAGTCAGACGGATGGCTAAATCGACTCAGCTTGACGTTCTGATCATTTTGGCGAACATTTATGTGGGTCTATATCTTCTTATTCTGGTACTTACAAACATCGGACCAAATTTGTAATACCATTTCAAGTTCGTGAAAGGTTTAAAAAATCATGGAAAAATCGTACTTCGCGACCCGTACGTTCGCTACCGGTACACTGAGGGGGGAAAATTATAATATTTAATTTGCAATGGAACTCGAACCCTAACCCTCTGGATATCGTCAAATTGTGGCAAGCATTTTTGCGCACTCAGCTACAGCCAGGCATATGTATAAATGTGCTTTCAAATGTTGAATTTCAAGGGCATGCCTTGCGGGAAATATATCTTAACTAAATATAAGTTAACTTGAAGTTGATTAGGAAGGAACTAAAGGTCACTTTTATCTGTAAATTTTCTTTGAGGAAAGCTACTCTACAGGGAGTTACGTCAGCTTATACCTAACTTTAGTCTGTTTACGCGAACACTAGTGCAAGCTATTAACTGTATATTTTGTTTGAAAAAAGGTAACTATAGTTCTAACTGTAGTCCTCAATAGTAGTGTTAAACATGGAGGACAATCTTAAAATACCAGAATTCGGGGGTGACAATTGAAAATGTTATAGTTTTTACTTCATTGTACAATTTTTAGACATCATACCTGCACAAAATTAAAGGGGTTTCCGAAGATGCTCTGTTCGTCGTCAGACAGATTTTTACGGATGAATTGATGGGCGCCTACAACTGGCATGAGTGATGCGAAAAGCAGGCCCTGGTCAAGCTTAAGCTGTTGGATTCCATTCTACGAGGTAAGTATTTGTAAACTGTATAAACTATAATTTTGTAACACATGTATTCATTGTTTCATTTAGAAATCTTCAAACTACAAGGAAGTTTCGATTTCGAACGAGGCGTTAAAAAAGCAGTGGAACTTAGCCATCACCGGATGTCGCAAAAAAAATTTGCAAAAAAGACGAAGAAGGAGGCTCATTAAACTTAAACTTAATATTTAATTTTGAATGATATTTTGATTTTTTTGAATGAACCAAGTATTGACACAGATTTTTTTGGAAATGAATGCGTAAATTTTTCCGTTAATTTTTATAAAAATATAGTTTACATTTAGCAAAAAACTAAACGAAAACTAAATTTTGAAACTTTGTGCGAAACTCAAGTTATACTGTTATATGTAATATTTATTTGTATTTTTATGTAACGTTTAGTAATATTTTAATTTGATGGATTTTAACATCAGGCCTGATTCCTTATCTTTGATTGTTTTCTACATCAGGTTTGATGAATCAACTTTGAACGCTTTCCACATCAGGTTTGACCCCTCAGCTTTGACAGATTATTACATCCGGCTTGATGTATATTGTCCTTAAGAAACTGATTGAAAGTTTGTTCTGCGAACTGATTGAAATATCGTTTAGCACTTTCGCTCAGATGAGCAATCATATGATGGTCAGTGCTCTTGCAGGGTACTTTTGTGGGGCGATGGCCGCAAAAGTAGGACCTGTATACCTCTGCATTACATGTCAAATAACTTGTAACTAACTAATTTTGGGCATAAAATATCAATAAGAAGACGTTTTATTAATTTCTCATTTATTTTTATTTTTTACACTTTTGTTTATTTAATTTATACTCAACATTGCATATTTGTTTATTTATTTACATATTCTTCAGTAGGTGGTCCTATATTGAAATTCCTTCAGACATAACATCAAAACTATGATACAGAATTTCGAACTTCATTTTATTTGTCCTGAATTCGAAAAAGAATTTGTGAATTGTAAAAAAATTTATTCAAATTAGTTATTGCATGCGGATTTTTAAATAGAAACTTGTACAGAAAACAAACTTCCGATTGCATCTGCATGACTGCTGCACGACTTTACAATTCACTTTAAGTTGGTTTTGTCATAGCTTATTAAAAGTGAGGTATTTATCGAAATCCCATTAAAAAGCTAACTACAAGTTGGTTATTTTTAACAACTGATAATTTTTCACTGCAGGATTACTTTATTTCTATGGCGCTGGGCGCGAAATAGTCAAGGGTGGGTTACCTCTGCATTTGATGTCAACTAACTTGTAACTAACTACTTTTGAACATAAAATATCAATAAGAAAAACAAAATATTTTTTTTTGTATTTTTGACTTTTTTATTTATTTACTTTATTTTATTACATTTCATATGTGTTTAAATATTCTGCTGTAGGTGGTCTCATATTCGAACTCCATCAGACATAACTTCAAAATGATAATATAAAATTTCGATCTTCCTTTTATTTGTCCTGAATTCGAAAAAGTATTTGTGAAGTTCAGAAAGAAAGTGTATTCAAAGTAAAACTTGTATGAGGATATTTAAATATAAATTTGTTTAAAGAACATAGGCGTAACTATAGTGCGCCTTTTCCAAACGGCACCGTAGAGAAAAAATTCTATTAGCTTGCCAAATAGATCGTAGTGTTGTCGTAGAGTTTTCGATCTAGTTGCGATGGACTGTGTGCACGGCGAAAAATTTCGGTAAATAACTATCACGTAGACTGTGTAGGTGAGTCTCTTGTAGAGCTCTATTGAGTGTTTACACGTCTCTAATAGGGTTGCCAACATTTTCGAAGATATTTATAGTACTTTTTCAAAACAATTTGAAAAAATATAGTGCACTTCGAATATATATAGTATTTTATTTGAAAGAAAAAGTAAGTTGTTGGAGTAGAGAGTAGAAATGAAATAATTTTAACTACACTTTTTAATTCTTTCTCAATGTTTTTAAAAATATGTTACCTTTTTTGATTATAAACTCACACTGAACTTTTACTTTAAAGAATATTTCATTTAATATTTTTATTTCAGTATAAAGGTCATCCATTTTAATACACATTTTTCGTGCAAATTACTGAAACATATTTATATTTATAATTGAAGAATTATAGTATTATTGGGTGGGATGAGATTTTTATTAATTGTAAATTTTATTAGAAATGTTAAAATATAGCTATTAAAAATTTATAAAAATTTACTTCATTAATTTTTCTCTTTTTAACCGACTGCAAAAAAAGGAGGAGGTTATCTATTCATCGGAATATTTTTGTTATGTATGTTGCCGCATAACTTTGGACCACATTAACCGGTTTCGATAATTCTTTTTCTGGTGCCTCAGGGGAGGTCACATACTAATTTGGTTTAGATCCGATTATTGGATCATGAAGAAATTAACGGTATTTCAAAATTTTTATATGAAAATTGTAGTCAGTTGTGTTGTTTGCTTAAAAATTACTTGTTATTGTAACAATTGAGTTGTACCGAGCTCTACAAAGGAATTTATATTGCATAAAGTTTATTATGAACTTATTGAAGAGTTAAAATACAAATTTGTTAGTTACCTTAATTGCATGCAAATTTTAAAATGCGACTTCGTCTTTATACAAAAATCGTAATTTTCTCATTATTTTTAACCGACTTAAAAGAGGAGGGGACTATCTATTCGTTGAAATATTTTTTTATGTACATATGTTACCGCATAACCGATTTCGATAATTTTTTTTTAAAGAAAAGGTGGTACCTCAAAAGGTGGTCCCATCCTGATTTGGTTTAGATCCGATTATTGGATCATGAAGAAATTAACGGGAATCTTAAAGTTTTACATGAGAATTGAAGTCGGTTTTGTTATGCTTAAAAATTACTTGTTTATTTAAAAATGCAAATCGATAAATGGTTTTAGTGATGATTTTATTTTAGTTTTTTCTGATTGACCTTTCGTCAAAACAGGGATGTTTGTATAAACTCAGCATTCTTCCAAGTGATCTTCTAACAATTGGGGACCGTTTTTCTATTATATAAGACATCCATACGCACATAAATATATCGTATCTAAACGTTTTTTTGCCAACTTAGATTTTCGTTTTTCCTTCCCCTAAATCGCCCAAATTACGCACTGTGCGGCGGCATCATTCTAACCGGTTTAAACGTAAACTAGACGATTGCAACTTAATCGATGTAAGACGACCGATGGAATAATAAAATCGCAATCAGAGACGTTGTTGACGAATCGTTCGTGCAGCCCATCGTTCGTAATACATAGTGAGGTAGTAACAATGAAATAAATGAAAATAGTTTTTTCCGAAAAAAATCCCAAGTTTTATTCATATTCCAACACATTTTTCACCGAAAAAAAATTTTAATTAATTTCACATTAAAACAATGCATTTTGTAGCGGTGTCAATTTGACACCGTTACACCGTTACTATGAAGGTTAAATTAGATATTCATGCTTTAACTACAGATTCGGATTCTGCTGATAAAAGTACGTAACTTTTGTTTGAAACTTTTTTCTTGTGATTGCCTTTTTCAACCTCTAAATGACCTTCGAACTTCAACTCGTCCTTCTTAAATGAGTAAAAATATTTTTATTGGAAAACGAAAACATATGAATTACCAAGTCGGAGATGCCCTATCTTTTGGTCGTCTATCATCACGACAGATACATCGTTTTGTCCTCGTTCACCACCAGACCTATTCGCTTTGCTTCTTAATCTAATTCAGGCTTGCTCTTAAAATAAATAATAAACTATCTTTAAACTGAGATCTACCAGACGAAGACGTAGTGTTGCAAATAAAATTCAAAATATCCAGGTTAAATGAGCATTTGCGTCCTGAACTTTGACTGCTCGGCACAAAAAAGTGTACCATAAATAGCTTTAGAATTCGGCGAAACAGAAATCATATACAATTTCAATAAATATAATTTCGCAGGGATTTGTTTTACAATTGATGCAGATTTTGAGAAAACAAGTAATTTAGATTTTATCGACAACATTTCATAAGCATACATAAAGTTTGTCGCTTACAGCTCCATACAAATTTTAAGCGAAGATAACGTATGCCTAATAACTATTTGGTAATATTAGTTTCTGTCATCTAAATATATCTAAATATAGGAAANATAAGCGAAGATAACGTATGCCTAATATTTGGTAATATTAGTTTCTGTCATCTAAATATATCTAAATATAGGAAAAAAACGTTCTTTGAGAATTAAATAAATTCCTCACTAATTATTTAGATAACTGCATGATAAACAATAAACATTGTTTAAACAAACAAATAATTTAAAATTCAACAACAACAAAAAACAGGTTAGTTTAAAGGTACGAGAACATGCTCGCGTTTTTGGGATACCGGACAACGGTGAGGCATCCAAAACATGGCATATTTATGGCCAAGCAAGTTTATGAAACAATTAAAATGTCCGAATATACGGATAGCCAAATGAATGGATACTAACCGGATAACAGGATTTTCGAATGTAAAAATTAACAATAAAATAAGAATCTTTTGTTTACTAATGAAGTGTTCTATAATATATATTGAAAATTGACAAATTTCGTATTTTTAAGTTTAATTTAAGAATCCGTTCAAATACTGTTTAGAATATCCGGTTAATGAAATGAACGGATTTTTACCGGATATACGGATTTTATCCGTACACACGAATAGCCCTAGCCCTACTAACCATACAATCCTGCACAGTTTTAAGAAACTACAAAAGTTGCCTTTAAACTGCAATTCATAATATACATATGCACATACAAACTTCCACGGAAGTCATACGAAAATCCGAAATTTTCTTTTTGCAAAAATTATCGTGTTAATAAACGTTTCCCACTATTCCGCCAAGTATTTTTTTTATCTGGAGGGGTTACAAAGAAATTCATAAATTTCTAACGCAACAGATCATAGTATCGTTTCATTAATGAGATGTAATTTATTTAAATTTTTTGTTTGTCTTTTAAACTGCCTAATACATTTGCCAACCAGCAAGAATGCACATTAGGGTGGTCTAAATAAAGTCGGAGTTTTAATGCTCTCACTCCCTAAGATTGTTCTTTATCGAAAAAAGTATACCCC